AATAAATATCATTTGGGGGGGAAACATCTGGAGGATATGAGGTTGTGGCTTGATGCACTAGTGATATTGTGTGAATGAAGTTGTTAAAGCAACTGAAATAGCCTTATCATGAAAATATCACTCATCTGCCAATAACCAATTAACTTTAGAAGAAGTTGGCAGTAACACAAAACAGCAATTCCAGCCAGGTAGGGAAGATCTCCTCACTAGCAGCTCCATTTTTTGTCATGATCAACCCCCTATAGAACAGGGGGTTGCATTCATTTAATATGTTGAAAAGAGCCAAGAAAAATTGTCGCTCTATAAGCAAGGATCGTTTGTGATATTATCATGGGTTGCACCAGCTGTCTGATACGTCACATTTATCAACTGTAAAGTTAACTTTTTTCACTCTATTCTCACACTCACATTATTTAATTTGTATTTTGATCAACTTGATGTGTTGTGATATTTCAAATTTTCTGTTGTCTTTTCATCAAATGCACTACCTACTGGTATGACCCAGAATGCCAGAGAAACAGTGCTGGACATCCTCTTAGCCTAAAGGCCTGCTCTGTAATGCAAAAAATGGGTGAGGTATAAATAATAAATTATTATTATTATTATTATTATTATTATTATTATTATTATTATTATTCCAATGAGGGCACTCAATTAAGCAGCTGCAGGGGTCAAGAACAAACCAGGAACTCTTGTAGTCTTGTCTCTATTTTCCCAGGTATTCTCTTCATTCACTAATATTTTAACTGAGGCTGCAACCCTAACTACATTTACGTGGGAGTAAGTTCACTGGGACTTACTTCTGTGAGAATATGCATCGGATTGCACAGCCAATGTGTCTCTTCTGCTCCAGACTTCCCTTCCTTCCACTTCCTCTCTTTTCCTCATGCATTTGGTTACTTAGATGGTTTAAGTCCACAGGCACATTCTTGTGATTTGTCCACCCTATGTCATATTTATTCTTCACCACTTTGCTTTAGGCATTTAGGAAATAATATTTGCACACAGCTCAGGTAGTACGTATCATGTTGCAAGAGACTCTGAGGGGCACCTTTTGAATTATGGTGCAGTTGCTTGGAGGACAAAAACTTTTTGGTTCAGGCCTGTACACGTGACTTTTTAAAAGAGTGCTGCCTACAGCTGCTGAGAGTAATGGATCATTGCCATAGAAACATTAGCTACCCTTTTTCTCGCAATGAAATTTTCTCATAATTGTCACCAATAAAAAGTCATGTATGACGGATCAATAACCATATGTTGCAATCCCTGAATAGCGATGCCAACTTCACTTAATGATTGCACTCGCCAGATTAATTTGAACAGAATTGTATGATCCAAAGTACCTGGAAGAGAGAGATACTCAAGATCATTCACACATTAAATCATCATTAGAGACACTGAGGTTGAGAGATCAAACTTGAAAGATTATGAACTGGATACCATGTGGTACACTGATTAAGTCTGCATCCTGCCATCTGTCAAAGACTTGTCCTAATCCTACTTTAAACACGGAAAATACAAAACTTTCTTCAAGCCAGACGTCAGGAAAGCACCTGTCCTTCCAGATTAAATTACTCAGTTTATCACACAACAGGCACAATCCCCAATGGGATTTGCAGAGATGGTTTGCCTCTGCAAACTGAACATGTCATGCAAATAGGGACATAAAGGCAGATTTGACAATCTGAGGGAAATGTTTAACCCGCAAAACCAGAACATTTGCAGGATACCCAGTAGCTGGTCATTTTAATGATTACTTTGTAGTGCTTTTAATGTATTTTTAAATGTTTTTATATTGATGTATATAGCGACATTGTTATGTTATGAGAGGGTCGTTGGTATATTCTTTTATAAATACAGACACTGCCATTATACAAGGTTAGCTTGCCGTCTTAGACAAGACACATTATGCATGTTTTGGTTAACAATGCTCAAAACCAGAACATGTGCCACATTGCTTAAAGGGCAGATTGAATGTACTTGCTGAGTTTCCTTTTATCCCTATGTGATCTTTTCTCACATTACAGTTTTTTTCTCATTTCTTTCTTTTAGGTTTGCATTTCTTTATGAATCTCTCATCTCCCTCCCCAATCTGAATATAAGTACTGGTATGTATGTACCTGTTTGCACTAAAAATTGAATAGAGAAACTAAAAGAAAACTATTTGACAGTTCTAATACAACAAATGCAATGGAGCATCATATGGCCTGTGTTAATTCAAGTCAGTACAGCATGAAAACTCAGGGTCGTGGGTTCAAGGCCCACATTGGGCAAAAGATTCCTGCATTGCAGAAGGTTGACTGGATAACTCTTGTGGTCCCTTCCAACTCTACAATTCTCCCCCCCCCTTTTTTTTTTTAGCAATTTCAATATAACAAAATATCAAAACACTTCAACACTTCCACAGTCAAAGATGACATGACCCGTAGGCAGTTCTCAGAGGAATGGGAACTAGAATTTCCAATGCCAGCACAAGGAGCCCACCCTAGTCCTTGGGGGCACATTTTCTGACAGGGCAGAGCAGGCAGGAGGCTGAGGCTGCTGACACATGGAGGCTATCTATCCATTTGCTAAGCAAAGGATGCTGCTGTAGCTGCCACAAAGCAAAACACATTTTGCACAGATGCAGCCAGCAGAAACAGAGCTGGGCTCCTCAGGTTGAAATCATAGAACTGTAGGATTGGAAGGGACCCAAATGGTCATCTAGTCCAACCCCCTGCAATGCAAGAATCACAGTGCTAAATGGGCTTTAAATGCTTATATTTGTTTTCCTAACTGCTATGAGAGACATGTCATTAACATTCCTGTTTCACAGTTGGGAAGTAAATTCTATTAATTTCAGTAGGATTTTCTTCCAGGTCAATGTGCTTAACACTGGGGCATTAAACTAAGAAGTTTCGAATATCCCAGCACTCTTCCATAATATCGTATCAGATACAGAAAACCAGTATTTCAAATATTCAGTAACACCAGATGTCTGATGCAGTACAGTCTATCAACAGAACTGCTAAGAAATGACAGAGATTCAGTGAATCCACAGCTGAGAAATGATTTGACTGTCAGGTGCCTCAGAACCAAATGAACTGTGCCATCAATAGAATCAAGCTCATGCTCCTTTTGGAGTCAACTTTATCTTTCAACTTTCAGGTTACAGGCAGAACACACACCATTGTGGATGCCTGTGGAACTAGCACTAAGCTTAATGCCACAAAGGAGACCCTAATTTGCCAACCTGGTGCCTTTCCAATGTTTCGGACTGAAACTCTTGACAACCTCATCATAGGGCCATGCTGGCTGGGGCTGATGGGAATTGTAGTCCAAAACACCTTCAGGAGACCAGGTTAGCAAAGACTGCCCTAATTCAAAGCATCTGTCTTGAAAGAAGTTCAGCTGAAATAGGATGTCTAAAGTGTTCATCATTTAGTCACACTATTACTGCTTCAAGTAAAAAACACAATCCTACAATATCCCTTATCAAAAAAACACACTACAAAAGTAATAACATCATTAATCTGTCAACTAAGTTGCTTTTAAATGAGAAATGGATATTGATTCAAATGTGTCCAAAGCTGAAGAAGTCTTTCCATTCACATGACCACTCTCCAACTACACCACACTGCCAAAACTTTTTATTAAACACTTTGTCTGAATAATAAAAAATAGACCCAGATTCATTTTACAACCATACTATCAGCACAGGACATACCACAATAAGGGACTACCCCCTTCCCCAAATTAATTTCTTTTATAATACCACAAGTCAAAAATTAGATCCCTCCAACTAGCCAGCCCCTGGCCTTTTGCTCTGGGAGATGCACAGAAGCCCAATAATCCCCTCATGTACATTACATGATGCTGACTTCCCATTTGCACCCTTCCCAGTTTACAAGTGCACAGCAGTTTCCTCCAGTCTGCCCTCCCTGAGACATACACTCTATGTAGGAAATAAATGAATAATCTCTGAAGGAGAGAGAGGACAAACAATGACATTAGCATAACTCAACTAAACATAATCATCTCAAATGCAGTAAGACAAATTACGGATGTCAGAATCACTTAATTATCCCATGGGGCTTTAAAGGTAAAGGTAAAGGTACCCCTGCCCGTACGGGCCAGTCTTGCCAGACTCTAGGGTTGTGCGCTCATCTCACTCTATAGGCCGGGAGCCAGCGCTGTCCACAGACACTTCCGGGTCACGTGGCCAGCGTGACAAGCTGCATCTGGCGAGCCAGCGCAGCACACGGAAACGCCGTTTACCTTCCCGCTAGTAAGCGGTCCCTATTTATCTACTTGCACCCCGGGGGTGCTTTCGAACTGCTAGGTTGGCAGGCGCTGGGACTGAGCAGCGGGAGCACACCCCGCCACGGGGATTCGAACCGCCGACCTGACGATCGGCAAGTCCTAGGTGCTGAGGTTTTACCCACAGCGCCACCCGTGTCCCATGGGGCTTTAATGAGGTTTAAATACTATGATTTAGCTATGCAGAAGGAAGAAACTCTGGAAATAGCATAATGTGATTATTTTTTTAGGGTAAGCATGATCAAGATGAATCGGATTTCTTTTTGTTTTTAGTCAGAGCAACCCAATTTTGGAACAAGCCAAGCCAAGCTGCCTGGCTGATAAGGATCCTGCTCTGTCCTCCTGGCAGCTAACTAATGAGGGGGAGAAATGGGTCTGGGAAATGGGTGAAGAACAAGGAACTCGACCTGGCTCCAGCCCCTGTTGCTATTTTTCCTCTGTCAGCTTTGGCCTTTAATCCCATCAAAAGGGTCCGGCTTATTGGACGCTAAAAAGGGAGAGCCCATTACACGCAGCAAAAACAAGGGAAGGGGAGGGAGGGAGGGAGGAAGTAAAAATCACTCCAGGGAGTTTTAGACCTAAAAGAGGAGGCTCCCTTTCCTTCTTTCAAGCTTGCCTGGAGGGCTCTTCCACCCACCCACCCGCATGCCATCCCACCCCATCCTTCCATGCTCTGCAAAGAAAGCAAAGCAGGCACTGACCCCCGACCTCTTTGCACGGCTGGAGGGTTTCGCAGGCAGGCAGGCGCTCTCCTCTGCCGCCTTCTCCCCAAGCTGTTGCAGAGGCGCATGACAGAGGCGACGGGAAACAAAAAAGCAGAGCAAGGGTAGGGGGCACACAAAGCAGAAGGGGCTGTTGCCAGGCAGGAAAGGAGGGGAGGGGGGAGGCTCCGTGTCAGGAGGAATCTGGGGACACAGCCCTCCCCTTGGGAAAGTGCCGCCTGCACACATATAGACCCCAAGGAAGAAAATGCGGGGGGGGGGGTGGAGGTGTCCGGAAGAGAAGGTGGCTTGGGAAGAGGCTGCGAAGCGGGAGAAGAGTTGGGGGGGGGGCGCATCCCGCAGAACTGAGGAAAGGAAAGGAGGAAAAGCAAACGAGGAGACCGAAGAGGACGCGGGGGGGGGGGGCAGGCTCACAAGTGCCCAGGAAAGTCGGGAGGCGATCGGAAGTGATTTGCGGGGGGGGGGGGGAGAATGCCCCGAGGAAGAGGCTTGTCTTTCGCTCGCACAAGGGGGAGACTTTGGCTGTCTTCTTGGGGAGGAGGGGCAGCGGCTGGTCCCGGAGATGGAAAAGGATCCGGTGGGGGGGCAAAGAAAGAGAGAGAAAGAGACCCGACTCCTCCTCCGTGCGAAGCACCTTTCTTGGGGGAGGGGGCGCCCCCTCCTCGTGAGGAGATTTTGGGAGATGCGATAGAGCGAAGGAAACTGGCCGAGGGGCGTCGCTGCTCCCCCCCCCAGCTGCATTTGGGGGAAGGGGGTCCCCAGAGGGAGGGGCCACACAATACCACCCCGTAGTCCTCACCTGGGTCCGACGGCGGTGGCGCGTGCGCGCGTGCTCCGTCCTGCCCGCCGCGCTCGGCTCCCCGTCTCTCTTTCTGGGCGTCGGGGGCGCGCGGCGCAGCCCAGCTTGCTTCGCCCGGGCGCCAGGGGGCGGGGCTTGCAGAAGGGGGGGAGGGGCGGGGCCTGCGCACCTTCATGGGCGGGGCAGGAGGAAGCGCCTCTGTTGCCATGGGGACCGCGCGTCCCGCGCAGGCCGCGGGCGGAGGAGACGGGGAGGAGTTTCGAAGCCCGCCTGGGGAGGGAAGTGCCTCCCTTAAAGGGGGAATTAATGTATAATTGCAGAACATTTCTCTGCCGCGCGACGGTGTGTCGGAGGGGCTGCTGGCCCAGAGTTCAGCCTCAAGTATGGTATTAAAATTGAGTTGTATTGGAAGTGAAATTCTAGGATTATGAAAACAACAATAAAAATTGGGATTTTTATTAGAAAATATAAGACTTCTTCCCACACACAATTTCTCTTTTTGAAATAATTTGTATTGTTTTTACAAAGTAAATCAAACAATTAACATTTTTTTAAAAAATAGTAAAAATAAAACAAGATTTTTCCAAATCTTAGGACCTCCCTCCTCCCCTCTGTGGGTTTAAATGTCTATGTCAACTGCATATTATAGTTCATCCGAGTTACAGTCCTCCAATATATCCAAAGTATAACACTTCAAGAGTTATTCAAAGTCTGCCAAAGAGTTCAAGTGTTTACAATGTTCTTTTAAATACAATCTGTATTTGTCCTGGGACGCGGGTGGCGCTGTGGGTTAAACCACAGAGCCTAGGACTTGCCGATCAGAAGGTCGGCGGTTCGAATCCCTGCGACAGGGTGAGCTCCCGTTGCTCAGTCCCTGCTCCTGCCAACCTAACAGTTTGAAAGCACGTCAAAGTGCAAGTAGATAAATAGGTACCGCTCTGGCGGGAAGGTAAACGGCGTTTCCGTGCACTGCTCTGGTTCGCCAGAAGCGGCTTAGTCATGCTGGCCACATGTAGCTGTACGCCGGCTCCCTTGGCCAGTAAAGCGAGATGAGCGCCGCAACCCCAGAGTCGGTCACAACTGGATCTAATGGTTGGGGTCCCCTTTACCTTTTATATTTGTCCTATTCTCTATGGAAGTTTTGATCCTCCTGATTTCTGATTTTCCTAGTCAATCTAGCCATCTCTGCATAGTTAACTAATTTCATCTGCCAATTCGCCTTTGTCACAGCATCTTGTTCTCTTTCCATTGCTGGGCAAGCAGCATCCTTGCAGCCGTAGACGCGTACATGAACAGTCTTCTCAAATCCTTCAGTATGTCTGCACCTAAAATTACTATTATAAACATTTTTTTAATTCATTATATTTCCCATAATTCCTTTATCTTTTTACAATTCAACCGCATATGGTAGAAGGTGCCCTCTTTTTCCTTACATTTCCCACAGACATTTGAGCTAGTCCTATACATTTTCACTAACTTACTGGGAGTTACTGTAAATACCAATGATACATAATCATATAGTTTTGTTTTCTTTCTTTTTTTAAAAGATATTTATTGAAATTTTCCACTTAGTACAATAAAAAAAAATCAAAAAAGAAAAAACAAAAAAAGTTAAAAACACATAAAGTTTACAATCCTTATTTTTCTATAACATATTTCCCTGACTTCCCCACCCCTCCCCTTCTTGTATTCCAATTCAAATTATTAATTCAACAAGTTCTTATCCCCAATTCTTAACCTTTTTCTATTTAGTTCATTTTTTAAAAAAACCAATTTTACCTTATAAACATCAATATTTATACCTCAATTCTCATTCTTAAAACTTTTTTTTCTAAAGTCGACCCAAATTCCCTTCCACGACTTCCCCAATTTTCATACAAATAGCAAAACAAAATAAAAGCAAAAACAGATTATAATTATGCACCCTTTGGATCCCCAAACTCCACCCCCCCCTTTCCCGGTTTCAATCCCCAACAAATGTCTATCAATCTTCTACTATCAGCTTAGAGATCTCACGTCCGAGGCTCTTAATTCTCTCTCAGTTCCTCTCTGCCAGTTTTTTTTATAGTCCTTAATATTAAACATAATCATATAGTTTTCTTTCAGCATGTAACTCGCTGTAAATTTTAAATCCTCTTTCCAAAGTTTTTCCCATGCTGCCAATTTTATGTGGCTGGGGAAACTCAGCCAGATGGACAGGGTATAAATAATAAATTATTATTATGTTATATCCGAAATCTCTTGCCCATTGAATTATTGCTGACTTAACTTCTTCATCTTTAACAAACCATTCCAAAAACAATTTATACATTTTAGAAAGTAGTTTCACCTTATTTTGTAAATTCTTTCTCAAACCTCGATAATTCAGTGGCAAAACCCTTTCTTTTATCCATTTTAAAAACATAATTCAGCTGGTGATATTGTAACCAATCTGTTAAAATGTTGTAACCAATCTTTTCTCATATTCGATTTCTTCACAAAAATCGCTTCTAATGGCGATAACCACCATGGAGTTTTTGTTCTAGCAACAAAATGTATTTATCCCATACCACATATAATGACTTTCTTATTACATGGTTCAGGAATCCTTTGTGGACTTTAACTTTTTCATACCTGTCAGGGCAGCCTCAGGTCCCAGCTCACAAAGGACCAACGCCAGTGTCTCTTTATATACAAAAGTCTTTATTGAAGTTCATTGTTGGTTTTACAGCCGCGGCGCGCAGCCCTACGTCTGTAACTCTAGACCGTCGAAGTTCCATCTGAATCTCCTCCCCCCGTACACCAGTTCAAGACCCTCGCCTTGCTCCACCTCCTCCTCTGTTCCTTTCTCCTCTGGGTCCTCCTGCCCGCCGAGGTCTCACCCTTCCTCGACTCTTCGGACACGGATTCCTCTGACTCCTCCCCCTGCTTCCGGCGGGCTTTGGGACCTGGTTCCCAATCCGGATTTTCTGCTGTCCCGCGCGCCTGCACATTTGAACTTGGCGCGCGCGCCCAGCCTCCCACTTTCCTCCTAACGGCTACACTGCTCCTGTCACTGCTTCCCCCTTCGGGGGTGCTGGCTGGAACTGACCTCCCCTCCGCTCCTCCACTCCCCGACGGAGGCGTGGTCAGTCCTGACTCACTCTCCCTCCCCGCTGGTCCTGATCTGTGGGCTTCTTCCCCCCCGCTACGCTCTGGTGGGGAAGTTAGCCCTGATCTCCAGCTGCCGCTTTGAGCCTCTCCGCTGGCCCCCCTTGCCCTTGCCCTGACCCTGGGCGCCTCCTTCTGGGAATCTTCTGATTCGCTGGAGAGGCTCATGGAATCTCCCTGGTCACTCTCATACCCTCCTATGCTTCCCTCCGATCCTTCCTCTTCGCTCTCCATCTCCTCTTTCCCCTGTGGCTCTCTCCCTGAGCCCCTGACATCCATCCCCCCCGCGAAGCCCCCCCTTCCCCCCTCCCCCTCTTCAGGCGTGGGTTCCGGGCGCTCCAGTGCTGTGGGGGCGAGTGCTGGATACGGTTCGGTGCCCTTGTCGTGCAGCCCTCCCGCTGGATCTGGCCAGTCCGTACTTGGCTCGTCGACGTCGATCTCCTCCACTTCCATCTCTCTGCATTCGTGCTCAAACCCATGATCCTCCCCCAATGCGTCCATATCCAACTCACCCTCCGGTACCTCGGGTGATGCTGCGAGTCCGAGCCCCTCTTGCAGTTCCCGTCTCCACCCCACCTCCGGTTGATCTTCCCACCAATAGGAGCGGTCGGTGTCGACCCCTGAGCAAGATCCCCTTGGGGTGCTCCATTCCGGCGTCGCCTCCTCAGCTGATGAGAACCCCTGGAACGTGCTGGCCGAAAGTGTGGGTGTGAAAAGCCAGTCGTCGAAATAATCTGCCGGCATAGGTCTGTGAGGGAAGAGTGCATGGAACTCGTCTTTGAGGTATCGCTCCTCCAAGGCATAGTCCGGTACCCACCTATTGGCGCTGGCCGGGGTACCTTCCTCGGCGAGGAGATATTCAACTCCCTCTTCCCCCCATCTCGAGTCCAAAATCTCCGTGACCTCGTTGAGTGGTGTCACCCTCTGTGACCCCTCCCCTGTTGGTGATTTGCGGAGTGGGTCTGATGCGGCCCTTGGGGTCTGAAACCTGTGGGGCTCCTTGTAGGGTGTGAGCACCGACCTGTGAAAGACTGGGTGCATTCTGGAACCCTCCGGGAGCGTCAACCGGAAGGCCACTGGATTGATCTGCGCCTCGACTTGGTAAGGCCCTAGCTGCTTGTGCCTGAGCTTCTTCTTAGCTAACGTTCTGGCTGGCACTGCCTGGGCTGCTAACCATACCCAGTCCCCCACCTGGATGTCTTCCCCGACTCTCCTGTGCCTGTCTGCCTGCACTTTGTAGGCTTGTTTTGCTTCGGAGTTGCTCGTGGACCCCCTGCAACTCTGCTGCCAAGTGCTCTGCCCCCTGTGGCTCCCCCTCCCCCTTCGTCTCCAAACCCGGGAAGGTTCTGGGATGCCGCCCATTGTTGGCGAAGAACGGCGTCACCCCTGTAGACGCATGCTTCGTGTTGTTGTAGGCAAACTCGGCCAGCGGTAGGTAGTCCACCCAGGTCGA